ACACTGTTGCCACCAACAGCCCCCAGAACAGCCGAGGAACACGATTGGGGTGACTGGCACTTACTGAGTCACAGCCAGCCTCAGGGTTTACACTGTCCCTCCCTCCCCCTTCCTTACTGACATTTCCTCCCTAGCAAGCCATCTTTCCTGATGCAGATGCAGTCACACTTTCTCCATGGTGGAATTCTCCTGGGACTCATCTTGCCACCACCATGTTAAATATCTCAAGCACGCAGCAGCAGTCACCCAGTCAAGAGAAGTTACTGGTGGAGGGCAAAGGTTCTTCTGTCTCATTCCTATGTGGGTTCTCAGTTGCCTGGAAGCCCTCAGTGGATCTCCAAGGACTCAGAACTTGAATCTTGTTCCTTTGATGACTGAAGACAAACAAGTTGTTCCTCCAGCTCCTATATCACCAAGGCACTCATCCTCCTGGAAAAAGATTGTCCTTGGTGAGGGTTTCTAATGACCCCTCAGTGCCAAGGAAAGAAAAACATCCTTCTTGGAAACTCTGGGACACCATTGTTGGTGCCAGTGTAGCAAGACTGCCATCAAAATATCAGACTAGCTAAAACTCCCTCCTTGGTGCCATGAGATCTCAGGACGGGCCAGCAGCGGGGCCTGGACTGTGTTACTGCGAATCATCTTTCCAATGATCTCTTTATATCCAATTTCAGAATTCTGTTTGGGTGAATTTTCAGTCTGCCCTCCTCCTCCTGCCATCCCTGGGTTGTCTGAGATCAAAACTCTGTCTTAAACACAGGGTTGTCCAGCCCTGTGGGGCATGAAGTTAAAAGGGCTAGCAGGCTTTTCTGGTGGGACATTGAGTCAGAAGTTATGTCATTCATCCCAGACAGGGTAAGTCCAATATCAGGGGCAACTTTGCACCTCATGGCTGTGGCTTAACCTGTACTTTTCTGGGATAGGGAGGAAATAGCAGTGGTCTGAACCCCTGGAAAATCTAATTGGCCCAAAGGGCAAAGGCTTTTCCTGGCCTGGTTAGTGGTGTTTACTGTGCCCAGCTTTGATTACCAAAGACAGACAGGCTTTGTGGGAAGCCCAAAATACAATTCATCTCTTAGACTGCCAAAAAGCTTAAAAAAAAAAAAAAGAGGCCTCAAAAATGAATGCCACAGCTTCTGTCTTTCCTTTGCAGGTCAATTACTAAGGATGGGCGTGCAACCTCCCAAAGAACACCTGTGGTGTTCGGATTTTCCCTGTGGGTCCCGTCTGTGTTTTTATTCCCCCCTTGACTTCCCATGATGGCCAAGATCTGAGCCTAGACCTGAGACCACAGAAACAGCAGACATCGTCTAATGGGGGTCTGAACTCCCTTCACAGGTCAGAAATGGTACTTTTGACAATGGAAGGCTTTCGTGAATGCCCGGGCAGCCCCTCCAGCCTGCCTTGACACAGGATGGATAAGTAAAAGCCTGGAGCCAACCTCGTTGCTTTAGAAATGTCAACAAGCCGCATGGGGGTGCTGCCCTCTCCCTTGTGTTTGTGGGGCTTGGTTAGAAAGGATCCCAGTCAATATTTGGTCCCCAGATTCTACTGACTTGTACTGTTAGTAAATGCGGTGTTCGTCAGCACACTGGAATGTTAGAAAACAAACATCTGCACTGGGTGGGTGGGTTTGCCCCAGCAATCTAGACCCATCAGCTGCCAAGACCAGGGCCCCCTGTTGAAGTGATCTGTACTCAAAGATGATTAGCAAGTGGCCTGGAAAGTATTTGTGATCATTCTCATGTGGAGGCCATTCCTGAGATCAGAGCTTGCTGCATAGCTATCTGCTTTATTATTATGAGCAGGCATTTTATTAAAACCTCCTTTGTTTCCCCAGAACACTTAAGGCCATGCTTGATGCAGAATAGATGCTCCTCTCCTCCTCCTCCTCCTCCTCCTCCTCCTCCTCCTCTTCCTCCTCCTCCTCCTTTTTCTCCTTCTCCTCCTTTTGGGGGGTTCTAGTGTTGGAGCTTGAATCTAGGGTCTGAGCAATGTCCCTGAGTTTTTGTGCTCAAGGAGAGTGCTGTGCCACTTGAGCCACAACTCCATTTCTGGCTTTTTGGTGGTTAATTGGAGGTAAGAGTCTCAGAGTTTTCTGCCTGGGCTGGCTTGAAACCTCCATCCTCAGATCTCAGTCTCCTGAGTAGTTAGGGTTACAAGCATGAGCCATGGGTGCCTGTTTTCGATGTTCTTTACTAAATTGAAGCAAAGTGTACAGGAGGTCAGGAAGAGAACACTTATATCCCATTCCCCTCTCCCCTGTACACCCCTCTGTCCCTAGATTCAGGCAGCTCGTGCCACTGTGGTTACTTGGGCATCCTTTTAGCTACACCCTGCCCTGACCACATAAGGGTCATCACCGCTCCAAGACTCCATCTACAGCTGCAGTTAGAGGAAAGTGTGCAGGCTCTGGGGAGACCCAGGTACAAATGCTCGTCTTATCTCTACTCAGCTAGTGACTTAACACCACTGGGCCCCTAATTCCAGAGCAAAATGTCCCCTATCACCATGAAAGAGGATAACATAAGCAAGCAAGTTAGGGCTCAACAGGTGGTCAGCAAAGGCTTGTTCAGATCAGAATGTTTCATCGTGTGTGTGTGTGTGTGTGTGTGTGTGTGTGTGTGTGTGTGTGTGTGTGTGTGTGTGTGTGTGTGTGTGTGTGTGTGTGTACCAGTTCTGGGGCTTGAACTCAAGGCTTGGGCACTGTCCTTGAGCATTTTTGCTAAAAGCACGTGCTCTACCACTTGAGCACAGGTCTACTTCCAACTTGTATTTAATTGGAGCTATGAGTCTCACAGACTTTCCTGCCCAAGCTAGCTTTGAACTGCGACCCTCAGATCTCAGCCTCCTGAGTAGCTAGGTTGACAGATGTGAGCCACTGCACATATCTGAGTCACTGTACCCAGCTTAGGCTGTTTCATCTTTTTGAAGAACTTTCTTTTATCCCAAGGAGACTGGGCTCCAGACAAGAACTTTTCTGACAGTCTACAAGTTAAGTCAACAGCTCAAACTGATTGCAGAAACCCTCCCCCCCCCCCCCCCCCAGCATGCCATCTGCCTTGGCAGTGCTAAATTCTTCCAATTCAAATCATTTAAGGATTTCTCAACTGGTATTTCTTTTTTAAAAAAATAAGTACTGTTTTTTTGATGTTGACATAAGCCCATTACTTGAGAAGAGAGTGTTTAGACAGATGGGTTGTTTAAGCTACCAGGATCCTATGGGATCCAAACTCTAATGGTGTTTCCTCCTGGGCCCTCAATTCCAAGTTCGCATTCATAGATGCCCACTCAAATGCTCAAAAAACACCTCTACCTTAGCACATCCTAAGTCTAAGTTCGGTTTTCCACTCAACTCTGATCCTCTCCATCTTTCCCATGTCAAGAAATGGTACTTCCCCGCCCAGTTGCTCAAATTAAAATTCTAGGGCTGGGGGTATAGCGGCTTACACCCACCCACCCACCCACACCCACACCCACACACACACACACACACACACACACACACACACACACACACACACACACAGACTGTAGCTGGCAGCTCGCACCTATAATCCTAGCTACTCCAGAGGCTGAGCTCTGAGGATGGCAATTTAAAGCCAGGCCAGGAAGAAAAGTTTGTGAAACTTTTATCTTCAAAAAGAAAAGCAAAGGCCAGAAGCAGAGGTATAGCACAAGTAGTAAAGAACCCACTTTGAGAAACAAACAAACAAACAAACAAGGAAAGAGCTTCAGGCCCTGAGTTCAAATTCTGAGTCATTCTTGACTTTCCCCAACTCCCTATCTTGAATCTGCCCTTCAGATGTCTCAAGCGTGTACTTAAACTATATCCCTCGTCCCCACCCCTGCCGCTTACCTGTCTCATTAGTGTAATCTGCCATCCCTCCTCTCCTCAAGCTGGGCTGAATGTGAGCTGTGACGCAGGTGGCTTACACCTGTAATCCTAGCTACTTTGGAAGCTGAGACCTAAGGATCTCAGAAGGCTGAGATCTGAGGATCATAGTTCAAGGCCAGCCAGAGGAAGGAAAAGTCAGTGAAATTCTTATCTCTAGCTAACCACCAAAAAAGAAAGAAAGAAAGAAAGAAAGAAAGAAAGAAAGAAAGAAAGAAAGAAAGAAAGAAAGAAAGAAAGAAAGAAAGAAAGAAAGAAAGAAAGAAAAGAAAGTGGTTCAAGTGGTAAAGCACTAGCCTTGAGCAAAAAAGCTCAGGGACAATGCCCAGGCCCTGAGTTCAAGCTCTAGGACCAGACAAACAAATAAAAGTCCCTTCAACTTGCCTAGCTTCTGCCCACGCGTCTGACCAAGTCTTCCTCTGCTCAGGGATTCTGCATCTATAAACCAGACAGGAAGGTACCCATCTCCACCACCTAGTGTGCCAGCTGTGTTCTGGGTCAGGTGGGCGCCTCACAGCCATGACCTTACTACAGCCCAGCCCAACAAATGTTACCCACCCACCCCCATAAAACAAAGCCTTCAATGCCAGTACAGACTAAGTGAACAGCCAATGTGAGATCCCACTGATCACAATGGTGGGGGCCAGGGAGGTCTCAGTGGTCCAGGCAGATGGGAGCCAGAGCCGCTGCTGCTCAGGTGCCCTCTGTTCTAGCCTCACGCCTGCCCCTAGGGGGCACCTGAGACCAGAAGGGCAAGTCGAGGCTCTCTAAGGGAACCTAAGCTGCTGAAAGAGTTAAGAGGACTCTTCCAAACTCCGGCCCTCCCTCACCTCTCCCACATTTGCCTTGTGGGCTTAATGCGAAACCCAGGCGCTTCACAAGACACTGTACAAACAGCTTCGGGGCGCCACTAAGGGCTTCAGCAGAGAGAGGCCCAGCTGCCAATGCTTAGGGGAAGATAAGTGAGTGGAAAGAGGTGGTTTTGACTCAGGCGGCCAGCAGCAAGGCTTTTTTGCGGCAGTTGAGTGTGAGCTCCGCCCCTACAAAAAGCCGGAATCCGCTCCTCAGCCCCTCTCTTCACCATACTTGATTAGGAATTTGGGGGCGGGCCCTGGCCTGGCACAGACCCGCACACTCTCAGTTCAGCACCTCTCCCTTCCTCTCTCTCTCCCTCTCTCACACACACGTTCTGTTCTTCCTCCAGCCCCAGGAGGCCAGACCGAGGGACGTGGTCACTCTTTGAAAACTCCAAGCCGAGGTAAGTTCAGTCATTTGAGTTGGAGGGGGGGGCGGGTGTCTTGTCTTTTTGTAACTGCACTGAAGAAATAAAGGAAATGAACGGTGGGGGGTGTCTAGCAGGGAGAAATGATTCTTCACCACCTGGACCATCATCCCAGGGATGGTGGAGAGGAGCAAAGGGAAGAGAGAGACGGGTCCCGCATGGGGCCTCTCTCCTTGCAGCTCTTCTGTGGGTGTTGGGACCCTCCAGTTTGTAAGCATGTCCACCAGATGTCCACCAGAATTTCCCCCTAGCTACTCACGAATCTCATCTGCATGCTGGAAGTTAGCCTCAGATTCAGCCTGCAATGTCTCATAAAGAGGGGTCGTGGTACCCAAGTGTAGCTGGAAGGGGCAAGTTTTGTATAGGAGTGGGCTGTGTGTGTGTGTGTGTGTGTGTGTGTGTGTGTGTGTGTGTGTGTGTACTTGGGTGAAAGAAAGAGAATAAAAATAAGAATTACAAATTGGCCACATCCTGGGAGATATGGATTGGGGGGGGGGGGGGTAGAGGATGACTTCCATCCTGAGCTCCTTGGCTTTGGGAAGAGGAAGAGCATGGAGCTCCTGGGTCAGCTCCCCGAGGCTGGCGAGTGACAGCCACACTGTACGGGCCCTGGGTGCAGGCGAGTCTGCCCATTTCGGTCCTGAAGCAGCATTGCCAAGGAGACAGGGTGCGGTGGGGACAGGCCCTGGCTCCCCACCAAGCCCTTCCAGCAGCCGTGGCTCTAAGAGAAGCCACAGTAGCTGGGCACACAACCCTGGAAAGCTGGATCTTCCAGAGGAAGGTGGCTTTCTTCTGCCAAGGTGCCCAGTCAGGAAGAAGAAGAAGAAAAAGAAATGGAGACAGAGGTTCACTGTGCCAGCCCTCCAGACAGCCACCTTGGTCCTCAGCAGCATGGAAAAATGTGCTCTTGGCAGGAGGCCGTGCCTTCCATCTTCTCTTCCTGGCTAGAGCCAGAGGCCCGCCAGAGTGCCCAGGCAGTGGGCAGTTGGGTCTGCTTCTCAGAAACACTGTGGCTCTTTGTTTGAGGCCAGAGGCTGCCCAAGGATGAGCCTGGGCTTCTTCTCCTCCGGAGCCCAGGGGCTGGTGGGATGGCATGGGCCTAAGGGAACTGCTTTCAGGAAGTGGAGGTCTGGGAGGTCTGGGAGGTCGGGGGACGGTGGCTAGTAAGGACTTGGAGGAGCTATCTCAGTCAGGGTCATGCTCAGTTTGCATTAGATCCCATGTTGGCTTTTTTTTTTCTGCTGGTCCTGGGACTTGAACTCAGGGCCTAGGCGCTGTCCCTGAGCCTCTTTGTGCTCAAGGCTAGTGCTCTGCCATTTGAACCACAGCGCCACTTTGGCTTTCTCAAAGTATTTATTGCCAATAAGAGTCTCATGGACTCTTCTTTCCCAGGCTGGCTTTGAACCATGATCCTCAGCCTCCTAAGTAGCTAGGATTACAGGCATGAGCCACCAACCAGCACCTACATGCTGGCTTTTATGCTCCTCACTGTCTCCTGTCCACAGGAGAAAGCCAGCAAGGCCCAATGGCAGAGCAAGGGCTACTTGGGTCTAGGTTTTCTCTGCCCATGGGGGATGCGCAGTGCACAGTGGGGAATTCAGCACCACAGTCGGGTATTCAGGCTTAATGTGCCACCCTGGGTCCTCCTTCTGCCATAGCGCCAGCTTCCCTCACAGAGGATCCCAGACCCCATGCTCCCCCCGACCCCCAGGCCAGCCCTCTTCTCCCACTGTCACCTCCAGGCTGTTCCAGCCCAGTCTCCTGGCTCATTCATTGTCTGTCACGTGGCTCCTCCCCAGTATCAGTGGCATCTGGGGGGCAGGGAGTGACCCAGACACATCCAGAGGACAGGTGCCATGCCCACCGCCACGCCCCCGGCTGGAGAGGATTTGTAACTGTTCTAGGAAGACCTGAGCAGCCAGGAAGTGCGAAGCTGAGAGTTTTCTCACTCAGCACTGAAGGGTGGCCTGGGGCCTTGCGGAGGGACCCCAGCCCTCCCTGCCCACGCGGCCAGCGCCCCCGTGACCCATGAGACCAAGGGATCTCCCACAAGCAGCTCAGATCCTCAGATCTCCCCCTTCACCGCCCCAAGCCGCTCCTGGAGGTCCCCCAGAGACACAGAGCGAGCCAGATAGCCTGTCCCTCGGACTCTTGGAAAGATTATGTCCCTAGGTGTCCAAGCTGGATTAGGAGCGTGAAGAAAACCCTACCACTTCTAAGCATCACACACCCCGCACGCGTGCACACACAGATGCACACACTCGCGGTTGCGGCTCCGCAGTTTCAGGGGTACTCGTGGTCCCTCAGAACCTGCCTTCCCGGGGCCTCCCTCCCCGTCCTTCTCATCTCTGCCTGGCTGGGAACGAATACAGTTCACTGGTCCCAGATAACCAGTACCAGGTGAGGGGAGCACTGGAAAGGGAGCAGTAGGAAGGGAGCAGGACTCCAGCTCTGACCCGGGCAGTGCCATGTGCCCGGCCTGGCGCCCTCCTTCGGCTGCTCAGGCCCCTCTCTCCTCTCTCCGCCCCGCAGGCCGACGATGCAGCGGGCCGGCCTCCTGCTGCTGGTGGGGCTCTGCTGCCTGTGCCAGGCGCAGTACGAGGAGGACTCGCACTGGTGGTTCCAGTACCTCCGCAACCAGCAGTCGGCCTACGATGACCCCTACGACCCCTACCCCTACGAGCCTGCCGAGCCCTACCCCTACCCCTACGGAGTGGACGAGGGGGGCCCGGCCTACTTCTACGGCTCCCCGTCCCCCCCGGAGCCCCGCGACTGCCCCCACGAGTGCGACTGCCCCCCCAACTTCCCCACGGCCATGTACTGTGACAACCGCAACCTCAAGTACCTGCCCTTCGTGCCCTCCCGCATGAAGTACGTCTACTTCCAGAACAACCAGATCGCCGCCATCCAGGAGGGCGTCTTCGACAACGCCACGGGCCTGCTGTGGGTCGCCCTGCACGGGAACCAGATCACCAGCGACAAGGTGGGCCGGAGGGTCTTCTCCAAGCTGAGGCAGCTGGAGCGGCTGTACCTGGACCACAACAACCTGACCCGCATGCCCGGGCCCCTGCCCCGCTCCCTGCGGGAGCTCCACCTCGACCACAACCAGATCTCCAGGGTCCCCAACAACGCCCTGGAGGGGCTGGAGAACCTCACCGCCTTGTACCTGCAGCACAACGAGATCCAGGAGGTGGGCAGCTCCATGCGGGGCCTCCGCTCCCTCATCCTGCTGGACCTCAGCTACAATAACCTCCGCAGGGTGCCCGACGGGCTGCCCTCCGCCCTGGAGCAGCTGTACCTGGAGCACAACAACGTCTACACCATGCCCGACAGCTATTTCCGGGGGTCGCCCAAGCTGCTGTACGTGCGCCTGTCCCACAACAGTCTCACCAACAGCGGCCTGGCCACCAACACCTTCAACTCCAGCAGTCTCCTGGAGCTTGACCTGTCCTACAACCAGCTCCAGAAGATCCCCCCAGTCAACACCAACCTGGAGAACCTGTACCTCCAAGGCAACAGGATTAACGGTGAGGCCTTGGCAGGGCAGGGGGGGTGGAGGGAGTGGAAATAGACACAGCAGAACGAAGGGTATAAATGAAGCAACCTGAAGGTGGGCGTGGTGGCACATGCCTGTCATACCAGCCACTTGGGTAGGACCATCAGGAGCTTGAGGTCAGCCCCGGCAAAGATAGTAAGACCTTAAAAAGGCAAAAATACAAAGAAAAGGGCTGGAGAGGGGAGTAGCTCAAGTGGTAGAATGCTTATCTAGGGAGCAAGAGGTCCTGCGTTCAATTCCCAATACCACTAAGAGAAAGGAAGAAAGAAAGCTGGGAATGTAGCTTTTTGGTAGAGTGTTTGCTTAGCATGCATGAAGCCCTGGGTTGGATTCCTCAGTACCACATACACAGAAAAAGCTGGAAGTGGCGCCATGGCTGAAGTAGTAGAGTGCTAGCCTTGAGCTGAAGAGCTCAGGGACAGCGCCAGAGCTAGAGTTCTTGCAAGCCCCGTGGCTTTTGAAAGAAAGAAAGAGAGGAGGGAAGGAGGGAGGGAAGGAAGGAAGAAGGAAGGAAGGAAGGAAGGAATGAAGGAAGGAAGGAAAGAAGGGAGGGAAGGAGGGAAAGAGAGAAGGAAGGGAAGGGAAGGAGGGAGGGAGAGAGGAAGGAAGGAAAGAGAAAAGAAAAGAAAGCAGGCAATCACCCTGAACCATAAGCCACAGACTTGCACAAGAGCTGCAGGAAGTGCACACTCATCCCTTATCCACAGCTAAGGCGCTCGGTAGGGAGCGGGATGGCTCAGAAGAGGGCTTTCCAGAAGAGCTAAGCATGGAAGAGCTGTGGTCAGCCCTGCTTTCCTGTTTTGGGGTGTGTGTGTGTGTGTGTGTGTGTGTTTAAACTTAACAGCTGGTGTATAAATATGTGCTGCTCTCAGAGCTGGCTCTGGCCAGTTCTCCTGGAGTCCAAGGAGCCCCAGGTGTGCGGGCCGAGGTCCTCCGGGCAGCCCGGCTGTGGGTGGGGGCACAGTTCACCTGCTCTCCTCTGGGCCTGTCTGCAGCTGCATAACAGCTGTCTCTCTGCAGCTCTGAGGTCACGTGCATCCCAGATGGAAGTGCGGCTTTCCCGCTGCCTTCCTCTCAAATCCGTGTTCAGAGCTTGCTTAGATACCCTCCACCCCAGGCTTACATGACCCCCCCCCCCACACCCACATGCTTTCCTCTCTGCTAGAAGGCTCTGAGCCAGCATAGCATTCAACCTCCTGGCTTCTGGGTCAAAGTCCTTGGCTCTCCCAGGAGGGAGCACTGTTAATGACCATGCAGAGAGCTTTGAAGTATGGCCTGCTGAGAAGGAAGGTACTGGAAAGCACACCAGGAGAGAGGAGGCCTGTCCCCAGATCAATCCTTTAGGAAGGAACTAGAGAGAGGCTGGCCTCCAAGAGGAATATGGAGGCCGAGGCGGGGCAGCAAGGTGGGTGCTGGCTGTCTGACCCTTTCATCTGAGCGTCAAGATGCTATCAATTACACGCCAAACTGAGTTTAGTTTAAAGCCTCTCTTTCTTTGAGGTGTTCTTGTTCCTGGGATAAGGCTGAGGGTCCTTAGAGATGTTGCATGCTGGGAAAGCGTTACATTTCCCCATGACTTTACATCTGGCCTCTCAGACACCTGCCACCTGTTCTGAATGCCCCTCCTGGGGGTGTTGGCTCAGGTGCTAAAGCAAGTTCAAAGCTCTTGCTAAGCAACTGGCTAGCAAGTTTGAGGCTCTGAGTTCAAGTCCAGTGCTGAAGAAGAAAAAAAAAAAAAAAAAGCAACTGACTAGCAAGTTTGTGGCCCTAAATTGAAGACCCAGTGAAAGAAACAAAGAAAGGAAGGAAGGAAGGAAGGAAGGAAGGAAGGAAGGAAGGAAGGAAGGAAGGAAGGCTGAGCTTCATACAAGTTTAACCCTGAAAAAGAAACATCAAACAGCGGCTTCCCTACCACAGAGTCTCTCAGTGCAGGGTGTGTTGGCTCACATCTGGCTTAACCAGGAGACTGAGATCTGAAGGTTGCAGTTCAAAGCCAACCCCGGGCAAAAAAGTCCATGAGACTCTTGTCTTCACTTAACCAGCAAAAAGCCAGAAGTGAAGTTGTGGCTGGAGGTTGAGTTCTATCTCTGAGCAAAAGAAGCTAAGGGACAGCACCTAGGCTCTGAGTTTAAGCCCCAGGACCGGCACACACACACACACACACACACACACACACACACACACACACACACACGAGTCCCTCGCCTTTTGAAGTCTAACTACAGAAGCAGAGAAAGATGGCATGGTGTAAGAGACAGTTTGTCACAGCGTATTGTCACTCCTGCCCTCCTATGGAACACAACTGCAGGTCAATCACAAAGTGCTCTGCCCCTCCCACAAGCAGGTTGGAAAATGAACTGCTTCGAGAAGCATCCCCTGCAAAAAAGTTGTCCATTCAGACAACCTGAAAGTGTCCCATGCTTCCCCTTCCCAAAATTTGTCTAATTCCTTCCCTGGTTGTCCTGTCCCCACCCCACACTCCATCTTCTCTTTTAGCAAAACAACTCCAAGGCCTTACCCATCCTGAAAGCAAGAAACTGATCTATGCCAAGCGCTTGCTCCTGGGTCCCGGCACATCATTGTAAAAACAATACATGGTAACCATTCGGCTTCCTTCCCACTTTGAAGAAGACACATCTGGGCTGGAGATGTGGCTCCAATGCGAGAGCACTTGCCTAGCAAGATGAATCCCTGAATCCCAACCTCAGTGTAGCAAGAAAGGAGAGGAGAGGAGAGGAGAGGAGGAGAGGAGAGGAGAGGAGAGGAGAGGAGAGGAGAGGAGAGGAGGAAGGAAGGAAGGAAGGAAGGAAGGAAGGAAGGAAGGAAGGAAGGAAGGAAGGAAGGAAGGAAGGAGGACAATCTGACAGTTCTTGTTGACAATTTCATTGTTTTTTAAAATGTTCTCCCCCTCCCCTTGAAAGATGGGGAAACTGAGGCCAGAGAAGGAGAAGCCATCTCTCCAGGTCACCCAGACTCTATAGTGTCAAGCCCAGAACTCCTGTCTTCAGCTTCAAAGGCCCTAGAGCCAGACTTCCCTGACTCAGACCCCTGCAGGACACAGCCCCTGCCCCAGCTCTGTCTGGGCTCCCAGGGCAGCCTCTCCACGGCAGCCAGGGGGTGGGGAACACCTGCGTGCTCCAGGCCTGCCAGCGGGACTGGTCAGCCCCCTCCTCCGTCCCCTCCCTCTCCCTCCAGAGTCCGCCTCAGTTTTTCCAGCCTGGCACCAGCCAGGCAGCAGCATCAGGAAAGTCATTCAGAAGCAGTGACCCCAGGACAGCTGGGCGGGTTGCCGGAGGAATGTGGAAAGACTTATGTCAGTATTTCATCTGAGCTGGAAAATATTGGCCCTGCACTATTCCTGGGTATGGGGAAGACTGGGGGAGGGAGGGGTGTCTCTCTGTCCCAATGCCCAGTGTGGTGGGTCTATCGATGCTGTGTGTCTAGTTCCTCAAATGCAGACCATGCTGATGTGCCCACCACTGGAATGGGGGCGGGGGAAGAACCTCAGCAGACGGTCTGAGGTCTGCAGCTCCAGCTCAGCCTCTGTAGAGCTGCTGTTGACTTGAACGATACAGACCCAGCCCCTGACTACACCCCACCCCCAACTGCTCACCGCATCTGCCCCCCTGGGAAAAACATCCACAAATTCCAGGTCTCCACCACCACCCTGCTCACCCCACCTGCCCACCCATCCACGTGAATCGCCTCCTGGGCTCCTGGGGTATGCATGCTGGGCCTTCTGGGTGGGTTAATCTGCCTCAGTCTCTCCCAGTCATATTTTAGCCCATTCTTCACAGAGACTGAACACATCTGGCAATGCCAGGCCAAGCTTAGTGAAGCACGCCTAGATTCCCAGCACACTGGGGCAGAGGAAGGAGGATCACAAGTTCAAGGCCAGCCTAGACTATGTAACAACTCGCCGGATACTGCTGATTTCAATCAAACACTCTTCCTCGACCTATCCGAGCCCTCTACGCCTCCATTTTCATGCTCACACCCTCCTCCATGGCTACCAGAACCTTCCTCCAGCTCCCACCACCTCCAGATAGATCACCGCCCTTTGCAGACTAAAGGACACTTGGGGGGCACAGGCCAGCCGCAGCTCTGGCTCTGGCCTGCCTCACAGCTGCCCCTCCAGACCCCACGGCCCCACCCCACGCTGAAGAGTTCAGCACTGGTGTTGCTGCTCCAGCCCTCACTGACTCTGTAGACCGAACTCTAGCTATGCAGGTTGGGGGGGGGGGATAACTTAACTAAGAGTCTTAACTAAGGTAAATGTAAGATAGATGTAGCCAGGCATTGGTGGCTTATGCCTGTCACCTAGTCAACCCAGACAGAAAAGTGGTTAAGATTCCATCACCACAATAGCCAGCAAAAAGCAGGACTGGAGGCGTGGCTCAAGCGGCAGAACACCAGTAGGACAAGCAAGCAGCTTGGGTTTCCAGCCTTCTTTCCCCTCAGAGCCTGGCTCACGGCTCTGACAGGTACTCAAGACAGACTGGCAACTTCCTCTCGGTTCTGGCACACACAGCTTGTCTTGTCTCTCAGCCCAGGGTTTTCTGTCTTTAATTTCCTGCCACTTTCTCTGTCTGCAAAGTGGCAGGAGATATTTAGGATTTAAGCCCCTCCATTTCCCATCTTCCCTCTCAAAGCAATTCAGCAAAGCTCTCTCCCTCTCTAAAAGCAATCGAGCACTTCAAAGCTCGGGTGAGCCTCTACTTCCCTCTGCTGCCCATACACAGAAAAAAAACACAAAACAAAACAACACAAGTCAAGTTCTGGCCGGATACTCAAGGACATTCACCAGTCCGTGAGCTAAGAAGAAGCTGAGCTGCAGAAGCCGCAGGCACAGCCCCTGTCCTGTCCCTAGCCCTGAGCCCATTTTGTGCCAGGTACATCCCATCCTGAGACACATCAACTCCCCCGACCTCAGCCGGGCACGGCACAGGGGCTTGGGCCTGCACTTCCAGCTCCTCAGGAGGCTGAGATCTGAAGATCATGTTGGAAAGCCAGCCTAAGCAGGAAAGTCCATGCGACTCCGATCTGCCATTAACCACCAGAAAACCAGAAACGGTGCTGTGGCTCCAAGAACTAGAGTGGTTTAGCCTTAAAGGGAAAAAAGGCTGAGGGACAGCACCCTGAGCTCAAGCCTGGGACACAGACACACACACAGACAGACAGACAGACACACACACACACACACACACACACACACACACACTGTTCGGTCTGTGATCTGGAATCCTGTCTCCCCAGAGTTCTCCATCAGCAGCTTCTGCACGGTGGTGGACATGATGAACTTCTCCAAGCTGCAGGTGCTGCGTCTGGACGGCAATGAGATCCAGCGCAGCGCCATGCCGGTGGACGCCCCCCTCTGCCTGCGCCTGGCCAGCCTCATCGAGATCTGAGTCCCGGCCCCAGCCCTGACCCGCAGCCCCACCACACCCACTGCATTCAGCTTGCTGGTTTGGCTTTTGCTGGGAGGTTTGGGACAGTCTTGGGACAGCAATCCGTGGGCTCCTCTTCGACCTCTTCCCTGTAGGTGGAATTAGGTGGGATCAGGGGCTGGACAGGCTTCTGGCTGAGGGTGTCAGCAAACACCGTCTGTACCCCAGTGACAAGAAAGGGAGCAGATGGAATTATCCTAAGAAGCCCTGGCCCCAGAAATCTCACGATTGTTGAGTTCTCGCAGATGAATTCAAGGCACAGCCGTGTAAGAGTCGCTTGAGCCATCTAGCGCATAACCGCACTTCGCAAGCAATCTCTGGCTCTCCCTCCCGGCAGCCCTGTGCTCCCATTGATCACTCCTCAAAATACTCTGGCCCAGCCTCCTCCTCCTCCTCCTCTTCCTCCTCCTCCTCCTCCTCCTCCTCCTCCTGTTCTTCTGTCCCTGCCTGAGCAGCCAGGAGACCCCAAGGCATGAGGGCTGCCTAGCCGCCAGTGAGGAGACCCTCCCCTTTCCTCTGAAGTTGAGCGGGCATGGAGAGTCCCCATGGAAAGCCACCAGATCAGCCCATCACTAGTGGGGTGTCACTGGTCACAGGCTGATGATACAGGAGGGACCACGACCCTGGGCTAGGATCCCTTTATGAGGTTCTATTTTAGCCGCTGGGCGGTTCTTTGAAAGGTAGGTCTGACTTCTAAGGGGGAGAGGCCAGACTGGCGGTCACTGATTCAGAACCCAGGGCCAATTAGCTGAACTACAGGACTGTCGTAGTGTTTCATCCTGCCCGCAGGCTCCGCTTCCCCGCTTAGATGTCTAGCCTCAAAGATGGAGGCCGTGTGGTTTTCAAAAGCATGGGAAAAGACGGGCTATTCTTTTCATCTAAGCAGGAAGGTCTGATACGCTGAAAGGAGAGACAGACCCCAGCCAGTTCCCAACATGCCCCCCGGGGGCCCAAAGAACGGGGTGGGGTGGGGGGGAGGAGTTCCTCTCTGTGAACTGATTTTCCTAAGGCCAGAGTTCAAAGTACCAGCTCTGCCCAGAGCGCTCGCAGGGCTCAGCAGCCCTCTTTGCTTCCACACCTTCATTACCAAGATGCTCTTTTCTCTTCCTCGCTTGGCTGGAAAGCACTTATTTCCCCTCAGTTCTGAAATGTAATATTGCTAGGGCTGAACCCATCTGTTCCTCTGGGCAATGATGGGGTTCAGTCATCTTGGGGAGCCAGGGGTGAGGACCCACGGGGGACATTCAACCCCAGTGCAGCCCACCCCGACACCAGGACACCCCTATCCAGTGTCTGCTCATCAGCAGCTTCTCCAGAAAGGGAAGAAGGAGAGGAGGGAAAGGGAGAGGGGGATCCTAGACTTCCTTCTTGACTCCAGACCCTGAAATCTACAAAAGCCAAACCAGCTCATTTCAACCGGGAGCTCTGAGGCCCAGGGCGACGCCTGCTCTTCAGAAAGCATCTGCATGTGGACACCATCATGTCCCTTATTATAAAGGATTCTCATTACAGGAAAGGCATGCGTGGTGGCTAACCTGACCAATAAAGTTATTTTACGAGTGCATGGTTAGGAGTGGAGTTATTGGCCACAGGCAGGGACCGCGTGCACACACCCCCAGCTCGGGCTGGGCAAGCTTTCTATTCTGTTTGGGAAGATGTCACTACGAACTTCATGTATAAAAGCTCAAGTTGGTAAACAGAAAGTCTGTCTGTGAGCCTAACTTCAATTCCACTACCAACATGTGCCTTTCTTTTAAGTTCTCCCTTGACGAGCTGACTGGCTTTTTCTTTGCAGACATTCTAACGTTTTTTTCCTCTTCCACCATTCTCTCTCGTCCATCCAGTAATTCTGGCCCTGGATATTGTGTCTTAACCACTGCTGCCCTCTTGTGGCTGCAGTGTGGAACTGAAGGCAGCCCACGACAGCCAAGCCCAGTTGGAAGAGCAGCAGTGTGGTGGCCCCTGGGTTCTTTCCTCCAGCCAGATGGGCTAGGTGCTTAGCAGATGCCATGGAAGCCAGGAGGACAGACTGGGCTCGCACTTTCAGGATAATCTGCTATCTTCTGTCAGGGAAATGACAACTACCACTGACCCAGTACTAATCCCAAACCTAGTGTTTCATGAGTGTCACAATTAATTCCTTCTTAATGCAGGGAACACAAATCTGACTGTGATTGTCTGGATCATCAGAAGAGAGCCATACCATGGCCACAGTCCTTTCTCCTGGGCAGCAAGCTGAGCCCCTCGGCATTGGAGAGAAGTGGGAGGGAATTACCACACTACACAGAGTGCAGTCCTTGGCCTTGGGTTTTGCTTCTTATCACTCCCTCAGCCGTCGCAACCATCCCAACCAAGACAGAGTGGGAGGAGGATGAGGAAGAGCCCGACCCTGCCGCAGGGCTGTGCCCTGGCTCTCCATTCAGTGCTTCACCCCAGAGGAGACAAGAAGGGAGCATCCTTCAGGCTCTGCTGCCTCTTTTCTGAGGATACCAGTAGATAGAGGCTTTGGGTACATTAACTCACCTTGTTGACTTCTGTGGGCCTCCTATGCAGAAGGTATAGTCATTTACTATTTTACCCAAAGGGAAACTGAGGAACAAAGTGGCTGAGGCCACCCAGTTAGAGAGCAGCCTGTCCTAGCCTGCCTGATTGTTTTTACTGGGCTTCCTGAAGGCCCTGGGATCATGACTTAGTAGGACAAGTGGGAGGCTTGAGGATAGATGGGCTGTTGCAAACAGAAAGGGTGTGTGTGTGTGTGTGTGTGTGTGTGTGTGTGTGTGTGTGTGTGTGTGTGTGTGTGTGTGTGCATATACCAGTACTGGGACTTGAACTCAGGACATTACCTTTCACTTAGCTTTTTCATTCAAGGCTGATGTTCTACCACTGGAGCCACACTGCCACTTCCAGCTTTTTGCTGGTTACTTGGAGGTAAGAATCTCTCCATTTTATCTTCTCAGTCTGGCTTCAAACCATGATTCTCATATCTTAGCTCCCTAAGCAACTAGGATCATAGGCATGAGCTCCTATGGCTTAGAGTATGGGTTGTTGGTTTTTTTACAAGAGGGACCTAAATCTATTCTCTAGCACTCACAATCTTTTGTGAATTTTCTAATTAAAATTTACTGTCCATCAGTAAGTGTGAGGCAGGCCGCTGGGAGGGCAATGGAGAACAAACCTCAGAGAACAAAGGCAAGTAGCCCTGGCCCACCAAAGTGACAGACTCTGAACAACAAAGCCCGCCCCGCGTGTGGTGTGCTGAACACTGAGACACGGCTGGCAAGAGCGGGGTGTTTGGTGCTCACACTGTAATCCTAGCCACAAGAAGGCTGAAATGAAAGGATCACTGTTCAAGGCCAGCCAGAGCAGAAAAGTCTGACTCTTCTCTCCAATTAACCAGCAAAAAGCCAGAAGTAGAGGTGTGGTTTAGGTGGTAGAGTGCTAGCTTTCAGCAAAAAAAAGAATTTAAGGGACAGTGCCCAGGCCCTGAGTTCAAGACTGATATGTGGGCACACACAAATGCACACACACACACACACACACACACACACACACACACACATGAGAAAGAGTAGAGAGGGGAAAGCACAGAGAGAGAGAGAGAAAAAGAGAGGGAGAGAGAGAGAGAGAGAGAGGAGAAAAGGCTGGGAAGATGAGCACACTTCTTCAGGAGGACTGCCAAGAACCAGGGCATGAAACTCTGAGCTGTGGGACTGGGCAGGTAACACAGCAGAGGGGCAGAGCCTGAAAGTGGGGATAAACAGCAGCTGGAACAGAGCAATCGGGACTCTTGGACAAAGAAAATGGAATGGAGAACAAGGGGGGAATCTTAAATAATGAAGCTGGAGCCGCAAGCAGAGGTGAAAGCACCTACTGCTTTTATTATCATCTTTCAGAATCTAAATTTGAACATGCCTGCCCTATGTCCAGCCTCATCGTTCTGCTTTCTGGCCACCAGGGGGCAGCATCTCATTTTGCACCCTTAGAGCCTTTCCCCAACCCTTCTAGGGATTCAGCCTTCTCCCAGCCTGCTCCTAGGCAGGGCAGGGGAGGCCTGGCGAGCCCAGGAGTCCTGACCTTTGTGTGCTGTGGATCAGGAGGCCTGTGGATATCTTCTTGGAGTCTGGGGAGCTTTGTTGGTTTGTTTGCTTCTGTGACAAGAGGCCTGCTGTATCATCTAGGCCAGCCTCCAACTCTTGGGCTCAAGTGATCTTCCTACCTCAGCCTCCTGAATAGGGAGACTACAGGTGACCGCTACCATGTTCAGATTCTCAGAATATTCTTGTTTTTGCATTTGTTGGGTTTTCCTTTTCCTGAGACAGGGCTTCCCTCTGTAGCTCCAGCCAGCCTCTAACGCTCCTTCTCGAGTGCTGGGGGTGGAAGATCACAGGGCGCCAGGCTTGACCTCAACAGGTTTTCCGTTGAATTGATTATTTGGGCATGGCTTTGTTTTCGTTTCTGAAATTTTCTACATATATTTCATAAACAGAAATCATCTTCCCATGCCATACATAGTCTATGGCCAAATGTTGCAATTTTATGACAGTTCTTCAACCATTGGCAGTGGCTTCCATCAACCAAAAAAACAATCCCAGATCTCTTGACAAGAAATCTTTACAGGCAGTAATATGTTTTTGAGCTGGTTTTCATGCTGCCCGCTCCCTATGTTTTCTTTCAATTATCTGGGAGGATAAGAAAGTCACCGGCACCTGGAGGTGAAGTAGGTTCTAGTACCAGAGCCGCAACACTACACAATAGAGCTCATTCTCCTCACCTCCTGCCCTTACCCTCCAGCCAGCTCACCAACACGTGCTTCCAGAAAACTGAATTTCAAAAAGCATACGAGGCTTTGGGAGTGTAAAGCCACAGAAATGGAGGCAGCAGTGGTATTCACTAGACACTGTGTTGAAAATGAACTACACAGCTTGTGGGTGGGATGGGAGGGGAAAACGGAAATATACTCTTTATCTGACTTATATAACTGTAACCTCTCTATACATCACCTTTATAATAACTAAAAAATTAAATTATAAAAAAGCAAACTATAGCTAGCAACAGCACTTTAGAATGTTTATGAAGGTATAAATTACAATTCATAAACCAGCCTGTGCTGGCTTGTACCTGTAATCCTAACTACTCAGGAGACTGAGAATTAAGGATCAGAGTTTGAAGATAGCTCAGCTCAGGCAGAAAAGTTCATGAGACTCTTATCTCCAGTTAACCACCTGAAAACCAGAAGTGGCGCTGTGGCTCAAAGTAGTAGAGTGCTAGCCTTGAGCATAAAGAGCTCAAGGACAGTGCTCAGGCCCTGCGTTTAAGGCCCACAACCACTACCACCACCACCAACAACAAAAAAGCCAAGTAAGAGGCCCTGATTTCAAGCCCCAGTAATGGGGCCCACACACGCATGCATACACACACACACACACACACACACACACACACACACACACACAACTACAATGCATAGGACTAAGCACAAACTAATTACCTTGAAATGCAGTTATTGAAATAGGTGAAATTTTGATATAGTAATATATACATTTCTTTATGAGTACAACAAGGAGCAAAATGTAACTACTGCCTATTAATCGTGGTCACTTCAAGGCTTTGAGTGCAAATGGAGCATTGAGGAATTTTCAATTACTGCAGTGGATATAAAAATATCTATGATGTCATCTGGTAGCAAAGCCTGCAGCTCTCTTTATAGTTGAACGTATGCCAAATTTCAGTTCAATGTATGCAAAGCACAGACAGGTCTTCCCATACAAAGTCATGACCCCTCTCCAAGTCAAGATAGAAAAGAAACTTCCAGGCACCAGTGGCTCACACTTGTAATCCCAGCTACTCAGGAGGCTGAGATCCGAGGATCATGGTTCAAAGCCAGCCAGCAGGAAAGCTTGTAAGACACCAAAAAAGCTGGAAGTGGAGTTGTGGTTCAAATGGTACAGTACTATCCTTGAGCAAAGAAGCTCAGGGATAGTGTCCAGGCTCTTGAGTTCAAGCCTCAAAATTGGCACCAGAGAGAGAAACAGAGATTGAGAGGAGGAGGAGGAAATTCAGTCACAGAGAGAAAGCAAGAAGAAAAGGCAAGTTGTGGGTTTTTTTTTTCTCTCTCTCTCCATAGGAATAGCCATTCCATAGACTACTCAATGCAGCCCTTGGGTCAGACAGTGAGTTGGGAACTCGTGCATTTAGTGTAGGAAAGAATGAATGGCAAGTCTCAAGGTAATTGCCATGGAGTTTGACAGAGATAATAACCAAAATTCATTTTGTCTTAACAATTTAAAAATACCTAGTCCAGGGCTCAGTGGTAGAGCGCTCGCCTTGCATGCATGAGGCCCTGGGTTCGATTCCTCAGCACCACATAAACAGAAAAAGCCAGAAGTGGGGCTGTGGCTCAAGTGGTAGAGCGCTAGCCTTGAGCTGAAGAGCTGAGGGACAGCGCCCAGGCCCAGAGTTCAGGCTCCACGACTGACCAAAATAAAGAAATAAAGAAACAAAATAAATTTTTAAAAATACCTACTCCATTCAAAACCCAACAGGCAGTTTGATGAAAGAACCAAA